TACATTACAGACAAAAAGTGTATTGTTATAAGCTAAAGACATGATGAAAAACAGTAATTTGGTTCTTGTGCCATCTCTGTCTAATTGTTTATCTGTAGTCATGACCTAGATACACAGTTTTAGTTTGTTATGAACAGTACCATATATCTAAGATAGATTCTGCCAAGAACGTAAATTGCAAAGAAAACTTTTTAGATGCCACTGGATTATACTATGTTAAGTGATCATCTGCACATGAATACTGAGAATCAGGAATTGAAACAGAGTACTTAGGACTGAGTCAGGAGGCTCTGGTTCCTAGGCATACTCTGTCCCATACCTAAGTCTGTATGAGCTTAGACATATCAGTTCACCTTGGAGCCTCTGCTTGAAAAGTGAAAATGTTGGACTTGACCTCCCAGGTTCCCCTCAGGTCCTAGATTCTGTGTTTCCCAAGGGCTGGAGTATTGCATCAGGACCTGGCCTGGGGTTTGTGCTGTTTTCAAGGCCCACAGGAACTTTTTTCCAAAGAGATAGGCTATATTACCCCACAGAGCTCAGTAATGCAATGAGCTGTCAGTGTTGTGAGATGCCTCTTCATTAGGGACTGAGCCTAGGTTGTTTGTAGTAACCTAGAAGGATTTAGGATGATGCCAGGAGATGTAATTTCTGTGATCAACTAATTTCCTACTCAGGAAGCTTTAGAGGTAGAGAACTTAGAGATATATCTCCTCTTAAAATACCCTCTTCGAATTCAAAGATTCCCATTATCTTCTTAAGAATCAAAGCAATTACGAAGAAAATATGTTCTTGTAGAATATAATTTTATAAATGTTAATGAAGAATGTCTTTGTATGTTAACTTTAAGGCTTTAAAAAAAGTAAATTGTATTTACTGGTTTTTTTTGCTGGGTCCCTATTACTTTTTTTTCAGTGCTGTGAAGAGTTTATATTATCTATAATCATCTTCTGATATTGGTAGCTTCTATTTTCTGGATGAATTAGGAATTGGTATCACCAGAAGAAAAGCTGGTCTGAATGATTATTCTTCAGTTGTCTCATTCGTTACATATTGTTTAATCATATGGTTTAACCAGAGTTGTAACATTAGAAGATTATTTTTTTAATTTATTGTAATCAAAGACAGGGTCTTGCTGTGTCACCCAGGAAAGAGTACAGTGGCACAGTCATAACTCACTGTAACTCCAGCTCCTCAAGTGATCCTCCTGCCTCAGACTCCCAAGTAGCTAGGACTGTAGGCATATGCCATCACACACAGCTAATTTTGAAATTTCTTTGTGGAGACGACCCTCTGTTGCCTAGGATGATCATGGACTCCTGGTCTCAGGCTTCCCAAATTTCAGTCTTCACCCCCTCAGCCTCTCAATTTGCTGGGATTACAGCCTTGAGTCCCTGTGCCTAGTTAGAAGATTCTTTATAATGTTGGAGATCATGACATGTCTTTGATGATAGACTCCTAGTCTTGGGTTTTGACCTGTACTGCAACTGCTTTGCAGGATTAAGGTTGTTGATGCAACAGTGGGCTCTGGGGAAAGGCCACTAAGAACTATTGGAGGGGTTGCAGATACACTGTTTCCATGGGTAGCCCTCTAGGGAACCCAATATTTGCTTAGTGTTAATTGCCTTATACAACAGTCTAAATACTAAGGTTATTGGCTTAGTCTGTTCACCTTGCTGTAGCAAAAGACCATAAATGGTGGAGTGGCTTATAAGCAACAGAACATTGTTTCTCAGTTCAGAGGAAGCCAGGAAGCCCAAGATCAATCAAGACAACAGCAGATGTGCTGTCTTATGAGACTTACTTCCTAAAAGGTGGACCTCTTAGAAGTTGTTCATAGATGGCACATTCTGACTATACACTCACATGGTGGAAGGGGCGAATTGGCTCTCTTGGTGTCTCTTTTAAGGGCTCTAGTCCTGTTCACCAGGGCTTCAAAAACTCCCACCTCCTAACACCTTCAGCTTGAGGGTCAGACTTTAAGGTAGGAATTTTCAGGGGAAAATTCATGCCATTGCAGTTACAAATGTTTTCAACTATCATTTGTGGAGTATCTATCCTCCTAAGCTTTCCCACTCCCCCTGTAACATTACAAATGGATATCTAACAGGAACATAACTCAAACCAATGTCATTATCTTTTTCTCAATATATCTTCTACCTTTTTCAGTTTTCTTTCTTCTTGTAGTCTTACCATGGTTAATGGTGACCAGTCTCTCAGACTTGAACTTGAAAAATTAGAATTATCTATACTCGTCCAACTCCATATTTCCCATATCTAAGAAGTTACCAAATCCTGTTTGCTTTATCACCAGAATGTCTTTCAAATTATAGTAATTTTTATCCCCAGTGTTATATTGCTTAAGGTCAAACCCAATTTATTTGTCTCCTAGACTGTTAACAGTAATCTCCTAAGTAAAATTTTTGTGTCAGATTTAATCTCTTTCTCCTAATTATCTCTTACCAGTTATCTTAACTATTTACATGTTATCTTTTTACTCTCATGCTTGACAATTCATACCTTTTTTGTTTTATTGTTGTTGTTTTGTAATTTGCTTCTTTTTACTCAACACTGTGTTCTGGACGTTTTTCCATGTAGTTTTATGTAAATCTATTTTTTTTTTTTTTTAAACAGTTTTTGGCCAGGGCTGGGTTTGAACCCGCCACCTCCGGCATATGGGGCCAGTGCCCTACTTCTTTGAGCCACAGGCGCCGCCCTAAATCTATTTTTTTGATGTATCATAATATGGGTACATAAAATGTGTATATTATAGTTTGTTTAACCATTTATGGTTATGGATGATATTTATGCTGTTTATATTTTTTCTTTTGCTCTTACAAGGAACATGGAACTAAATGTTCTTGAATGTCTCTTTGTATACATGTGTAAGAATGTGTACATCATTCTTACAAGTGGAATTGCTAGGTCAAAAGGTGCATTTGAAATGTTAATAGACACCAACACATGACTTTACAGATGTTCCTATCAGTTTGTTTGGGCTTCTCCTCTCTGTGCTCTTTTTTCCCAAGCCCATTTTTGAAAATTTATTTTGATTTTTTAAAATGTTATTTTGTTTAAATAATCTTTCCTCTCTCCTGCTATACATCTGCCTCTCCTTCCCCTCAAGCCCATTTTTAATATGGACCTAGTATACTTCTCTCAGACTTGGTCCTCTGATGGATGTCTTCACTCACTTGGGGACTGTTAGACAGTGCCCTGGTTTGTTTTCAGTACAAATGGTGGGCCGGGTGCTCTGCCGTATGTTGGGAAATTTGCATGGGATAAGCCAGATGTAGTCCCGGCTATCATGTGGCTTATACTAAGCACATAGAACTGTTGCTACCCCATATTCTTTTTATGTGTTTGCAGCTATTGTTCTCTAATTGCCGGTGTGACTTTTCCTTTTTTCTTTTTTGCCTAGAGAATTTTTTAACTGTTTTAACTATCTTAATTTTATCCTCTGTCATTATCTTCCCCTCAGATGGAATTAGATGGGTCTTCTTCAGAGCTTTCCCTTAGCAAGTATTTTTTAAATAGCTATTCCCCTAGAAAGTTTTAATTATTTGTTTATGCATGTGTGTGCCTGTGTTTTTATATATAGATACACATGCATCCCTCCCATTAGATTATAAGCTTAGTGAGGACAAGGAAATAGGATATTTATCTGAATACTTCCCCAATTTAATGCCTTAATTAATTGGATGTGCTTAATAAATGTTGAATAAGTAAATGAATAACAAACCATCAAATGACCTTATTTTGTGCAGGGGACTTTGGGGCATTGTTAATATGACTATGAACTGTCGGTCTTTGAGGATCTGACCATATAGTCAGGTTATTCAGGAACAGATGAGTAGACTGCAAGGCAGGCTGAGATAAGCTCTTTGTAGGGCTTATCACACATGAGTACTAGAGTAGGGGAGAGATGGATTCTCGTGAATGAGATACTCTGGTGTGCTTACAGATGAGACGATTTTTTCTTGCTTGTACCCTTGTATATTGAGGGATACACATGATGGTAAGGTATGGTCCCTGACTTTATAGTAAAGTAGGGCCTTAGAATAGGGATTGGTAAACAAATCATGGCCTACAGGCCAAATCTGGCCCCCCACCTGTTTCTGTAGGATACATTAGCTAAGAATAATTTTTACTTTTTTTTTTTTTTTTCTTTTTGGAGACAGAGTCTCAAGCTGTCGCCCTGGTGTCACAGTTCACAGCAACCTCAAACTCTTGGGCTTAAGTGATTCTCTTGCCTCAGCCTCCCAAGTAGCTGGGATTCTACAGGTGCTCACCACAAAGCCCAGCTATTTGTTGTTGTTGTTGCAGTTGTCATTGTTGTTTTAGCTGGCCTGGGACCTGCCAGCCTCACTGTATATGGTTGGCACCCTACCCACTGAGGTATTATGGGTGCTGCCCAATTTTTACATTTTAAAAAAGATTATTTTATGACACATGGACATTATGTGAAATTCAGATTTCAGGGTTCATAATTGTGTTGGAAAATAATTTAATTATGTTGGTCATTTGTTCATATACTATGATTGCATTTGCAGCAGTATCAAGGCCCATTATAGATGACCAGTTTGCTAACCACTGGGTTAGAGAAGGGAAAGGATTCAAATAAAGTAGAGAGGAAGAGAACTGCCATTCATATTGAGAGGATTAGTTTGATTAGTTAATAGAGCAGTTAATACTGGTAGTCATGCTTTACTCAATCTTTAGGGCTAGAATGATGATCTAGCTTAACTCTTATTACATAAAATAGGTAAAAGATCACAGCTCTCATCAAAGTCCACATGGTTTGTGAGTGGCAGCATTATACCAGAGTGACTGGTACACAAGTTCTGAGGGCTGTAGTGGATGGATGATAAGATTTTTGCTGAGGTGGGGCCAGATAGGGATTGAATTTGCCCTTGAAAAATGAGATTTGAATGACAAAACTAAGAATAGACTTTCTGTCTCTCACTGAATGTAATGTTTCTATTTTTTTCTTGTATTTCTAGAAGTCCTTTGAGCCCTACTTAGAGATTTTGGAAGTATACTCTACAAAAGCCAAGAATTATGTAAATGGGCATTGTACCAAGTATGAGCCCTGGCAGCTCATTGCATGGAGTGTCTTGTGGACCCTGCTGATTGTCTGGGTATATGAGTTTGTCTTCCAGCCAGAGAGTAAGTACATGTTCCCTCTTTAAAGGTGTGGGGGAATGTCAGAAGCCTTGGAATCCATTGCTGACAGATTGGATGAATTTCTTACCTTTTGTTTTGTTTTGATTTTTAAAATGTTTAAATGGCTGGGTGCGGTGGCTCATGCCAGTAATCCTAGCACTTTGGGAGGTGTATGGATTGTCTGAGCTTAGAGGTTTGAGACCAGCCTGAGCAAGAGGGAGACCCCATCTCTAAAAATACCCAGGCATTGTGCTGGCCACCTGTAGTACCAGCTACTTGGGAAGCTGAGGCAAGAGAACACTTGAGTCCAAGAGTTTGAGGTTGCTGTAAGTTAATGATGCCACAGCACTCTATCCAGGGTAACAAAGTGAGACTCCGTCTCAAAAAAAGAAAAAAATTGTTTAAATGGAAAGTAGTACACTTTCTTCTAAATTGGTGAAGTTATAATATGACCCTTGTGTAACTCTTACTGCTCAGGTTGTTTTTTTGGATTTGTAACTTACATAAACATTCCTTAGAATTAGTCATTGTAAAGATCTACAGATAATCTTAGAGTGTGGCTTAAACCTTAAACTGGCAAAAGTACCAGTTTCTTCCCTAGAACATAATTGTGTCACCTAGAATTCCTACAACAGGAATCATGCTTTCATTTTGGGCTATCCTTTTCAGTAAAGATGAGGTAAGATTGGAACAGCACTTATACAGTGACCATCTGAGTACCTGTTATTTGCCAGGTACCTTACCATCTGGGGATACTCATACCAGTAGTATAAGGTCCTTGTTCTCTTGGAACTGAACTTCTGATGTTATTAGGGGAAAGTGCACTTTGAACTTCCTGGTAGCAACTCAGATAAACTTGGGAAGGAGGAGGCCACTTTGTAGGGTGCGGAAGATGAGAAGTCTCTTAGTGATGTGCTGTAAATCCCCCACCCTTCCTCAGCTCTAAGCCCCTCTTCTATCCACTGTCTTTTCCTCACCTAGAAACCTGGGTACATGTTGCGTTCTTGTGAGTTATTTTCCTCTGCAGGATGTGCTTGATAAGTGTTCTTTGCACCTAAATATAACTGTTAATAGTAGGCTTGGTGGTGGGTGTTCTGTGACACCCCCTGCACCCCTTCCCCACTCTTAGCAGGGTATCTCTTAACTTCCCTAGGGTAAGAAACTAATAACATTGAAGCAAATCATTAGTCATTTCTCATTTGTTTGAAATTACCACAAAGCTTTGCTTCCCTGATAATATCTATTTGAATGAGCTCTTTAACTACACTTTCTTTCCTTTTCTTCCTCTTCCCTCAGGAAAGGCAATTTAAAAGGCAGATTTCTGGTTTTTCTTTTTTACCATGCAGGTAGCCATTAAGCAGTAAACATTATGGCGCAGTAAACATTATGGTGCAGTAACCATTGCAAAACATGACACCCAAGAAGCAGGTTCCAGTGTGTAGAGCTTTTTAATTAAAGTGGAAATGAGACGTCACTGTCCTATCTAAAATTTTCAGTTCACGCCAACTTTAAAAAACCTAGTTTTTAGTTGCTGCTACTCATCTTGCAAGATTTTTTCATAAACTGTGGCAAATGAGGCTGGCGGGCCCTCGTGCTGCATTAGTTTGATGGGTTGGGTGTGGAAGCAGCCCTTGTCATTCCTCTTGGGCTTACGTCTTTCCCAAGAAGCATTCAATTCAGGGAGGAGGGAGCCCATCATCCTACCAGGTGAAATGCCACGTTTCAGAAGACTCTCATTATATACAATATAATGAATGTACTTTTCTTTCTTTCTTTTTATTGTGATAAAATATGTATAACCGAAAATTTACCATTTTAGCCATTTTTAAGGGTACAGTTCTGTAGCATTAAGTGCATTGATATCCTTGTGTAGCCTTCACTACCAACCATCCCCAGATCTGTTTCATCATCCCAAACTGAGACTTTATTTTAATAAACATTAAATAATAACTCCTCATTGCCCTTTCCCCGTAAGTAGTCCCTGGCAAACATCTTTCTGTGTACTTTTCAAGGTGGAACATTTGTCAAACCAGACTAAGGTTAGAGATCTTGAGATTTTTTTTTTTCTATGATTAGTATTAAGTTTAGGTATTTACTTCCTTTAAAAATAATTTTAAAAATTTATTTTAATTGGCAAGTAAAAATTGTTTATAATTATCTTGTACAACATGTCATTTTGTGGAATTGAGTTGATTAGCATACATTACCTCATATATTTTTTATTTTTTGTGAGTGGGTATTTACTTCTGTTTTTAGTTCTATAGCTTCCGGTGCCAGGCCTTTCACTTAACTAGCTTAGTAGAGGCACAGCCATCTTAGGTCCTGATCCTACTTACTACCTGCTTTTTGTGTTTAAAAGGAATGTACTGGCCTCTGAACATTTTGTGAAAAAATTATCGTAGCAGTATATTAATGAGATATGCTATCTAAATCTTTGTGGGCTGAACTACAAACCATTTTCGTTCTTTTGTTTTTAATAATAACTTTTTAAATTACAAAAGCAGTACATATGCTCTGTAGAAAATTTGGGGAACATAGATAAGCATGTAAAAACAAAATTAAAATCTTCCTACTGAAGCATACCACTATTTATGTATCTCTGCGTGTATATCTGAATCAGTTTGAACCATACAAAATATCATTGTTACGGGTCAAAAGTCATTGGGTATTGACAGTTTCACACAGTTCAGCACCTGTACACAGTACACACTTTTATTTTGTAACTTCCATCTTTAAATTTTAGACATAGATAAAAATGTCTTTCCTCCAGAGGTCAGGGATGATTTTGATAGAATTGCCGTATTTTTAGTACCTTGCTCAGGTATTGCTGAACAGTCAAGTTATTTTTAGTATATTGTTCCAGAGGAGTCTAAAGTCTGGACTAGTGATAAATTTTGCTGATCTTCCAATTTGCAGTCCCTTCTTGAGGGGAGAGGGTAGTTCTGGGATAAAGGATGTAGAGAACTGTGGGGTGGTTAACAGCTCTCGGGGGTGTTATCTCTTCATTCTGCTCTCATTATCAGCTCATAGCTTACTACTTTTTACTGTCATGTTGATTTTAACTTGGGCTGTCCAGAGTTCAGCAACAGAAATCACCTTTACGTGGTGGGAGGAGATGATAAACTCAGTTTCTCTCTGCAGCACCTCAGGCAACACCCTCAAGCTCTCTTAGCCTATTTCCTCACTATAAACGGCATAATAAAGCCTGTCTTACCTAGTCACAAGGGTGATAGGAGGATCAAGAGGCATCATTCTTGGCCAGGCTCAGTGGCTTGCCCCTGTAATCCTAGCATTCAATGAGGCCCAGGTGGGTGGATTGCCTGAGTTCAGGAGTTTGAGACCAGACTGAACAAGAGTGAGACCCCATCCCTAAAAACAGCTGGGCATTGTGGTGGATGCCTGTAATCTCAGCCACTCGGGAGGCTGAGGCAAGAAGATCTCTTGAGCCCAAGAGTTTGAGGTTGCTGTGAGCTATGATGCCATGACGCTGCACCCCGGGCAACAAAGTGAGACTGTCTCAAAAAACAAACAAACAAACAAACAAAAAACCCCCAAACCATCATTCTTGTGAATTTGTAAACAGTCAGGATCCATGCATCGTTGTTCTTACACTGGCATACTGGCATTTCCTATTTCGTTACCTTAAAAATTATTTTTTAAAAATTAACAAAGAAAAATTATATATATTTATGATACAACATATATATATTCATGATACAACATGATGTCTTGAAATATGTATACATTGTAGAATGTCTAAATCAAACTAATTAATATATGCATTATCTCACTTTTTGTAGCAGTGAGAACACTTAAAACCTACTGTCTTAGCAGTTTTTAAGTATATAATACATTGTTACTTACTGTATCATCCTGATCTCTTGAACTTATTCCTCAAATCTAACTGGAATTTTGTATTCTTTGACCAACATCTCCCCAGTCCTCCCTTTCCTCCTATCCTCAGCCCTTGATAACTACCACTAAAACATTCCGTTACTTTCTTTGTTTGTTTTTTGTTTTGAGACAGTGTCTCACTTTGTCACCTTTGTGGCATCATATCTCAGAGCAACCTCAAACTTTTGGGTTCTATGCAATCTTTTTACCTTAGCCTCCTGAGTAGCTGGGACTATAGGTGCCTGCCACACTGCCCGGCTAGCTTTTAGAGACTAAGTCTCGCTCTGCTGGTCTCGAACTCCTGAGCTCAGGCAATCTACCTGCCTTGGCCTCCCAGAGTGTTAGGATTACAGGCATGAGCCACTGTGCCTGATCTCCAAATACTTTATTTCTGTATCTCTGGGGACTTTTACTTTTGAGATAATATTTTTAGGGCATTGCCACAATATTTTAGTTTTTAATTTCTCCATCTCTGATCCTGTATTCTGTTCTTTTCATCTGGACCCTTTTTTTTTTAAATCACAATTTTCACAAAATTAGTCTATTCTTTTATTGTCCATCTACTCACATTATTATACTTTTAGACAACAGGCCCAGTTTGCTGATTTTTAGACTTCTTTCTACCTCATTCATTACTTCATCTATTAAATAAGGAAGCAGTTCTGAATCTTTATAGCTGTAACGTTGTTAGAAATAGGTGGATAGCAATCAGCTAAAATATCTAACATTAGGTTATAGTTATTAGGGAGACTGTTATGATAACGTTTAAAAATACGTATAGGAAGAATTTTTTTTTTTTTTTTTTGAGACAGAGCCTCAAGCTGTCCCCCTGGGTAGAGTGTTATGGCATCACAGCTCACAGCAACCTCCAACTCCTGGGCTCAAGCGAGTCTCCTGCCTCAGCCTCCCAAGTAGCGGGGACCACAGGCGCCCACCACAACACCTGGCTATTTTTTGGTTGCAGCCATCATTGTTGTTTGGCGGCCTGGGCTGGATTCGAACCTACCACCTTAGGTGTATGTGGCTGGTGCCTTAGCCACTTGAGCCACAGGTGCCGAGCCAGAAGAATTTTTAGTAATGTAGAAAATGCTATACATGAGAAGAAGTACATAAAACAAGATCTCATGTGTAAATTACAAAGGAAACATTACAACATTTAAACAGAAATGTAATTACAAACAAGTCATTTAAGTCTATTCCATGTCTAAGTTACCTGTTTTTTTCCTAGGTGTTTATAGACTCTTGGCTATAGGGTGAGGCAGAAAGACATGGAAACAGCCTAAACAGAAACAACTAGTAGAGATGCCAAGCATCGTGAAATAGATAGGAACGCAACATGCAGACCCTTCTTATGGTTGTTGAATGGAGATGAAGCTCCTCTTGGCCAGGAAAGTTGAAATGACCAGATTCCCTAGGAATGCAGTAAAGGTTCATATTCAGTTCCTGTCTTGGAGAAAAGCTAGATCTTGATTCTTAATAAACTTGTTTGGGGTAACAGAAAATTCCTATCATGCGTTTGAAGCAGTGTAGAGTCAGTCCTGGGAGTCCTGGACTAAAAAGATGAAGACTTCAGTTAAATTTCTGCTCCATCTCTGATTTGATCCTTGGCCTTGAGCAAATATTGATGCTCTGATTTTCCACTGCCCTTTATGTCACTTGTGGATAGTGTATAATGCCTTCTGTACCAACCTCAGAACACTAAACTGTTGTCACCGGCAATTGAGATACACCGAATGTGAATGCATTAAATGGCATATCGGTCTAGTTAGATGCCATGTGTTTATAATTATTGTAATCAGCAGGATGGAATTTCTGTTTGTCCTATGTATTGCCTGACAGAATGGACTCTGATTGGCATCTATGATTTTGAAGGCCTTTTGAGGTCCAGAAAATATTGTTAGGATCTTTGTTGTATTAGACACTGGAACCCAGATTCTTTTAAAAAAAAAAAAAGTGGACTCTGGCTATTTGTTTTGGGAGAAGAAAGAGAAATCTTTGGCATCTGGAAATGTTGATAAGGCCAAGAATTCTGGAATACATGTATCATTTGACCCAGTAATTCTGCTTCTGGAAATTTATCCTGTAGGAATTCTTGTATGTATATAAGATGGTATGTGTTACAAGGTTATTTATATTGGCATGGTTTGTAATAGCAAATATTAGAAACAATATGTCCATCAGTAAGGGGCAGTTTAAATACATTATGGTACATCTATGTAATGGAATATTCACAAAAATGATTGAAGAAGCTTTGATCTTTAAGATAATAGTCCTAAATAGAAAAATAAGGTTTAGTACAGTGCTAGAGTATACTACCTTTTGTTTAAAAAAGGGAGACAAGTAGGAATGTATCTTTACTGTTGCTGGTATCTGCATAAGGAAGCTCTGGAAGGACAGGGTACACCAGAAACAAACAGTAGTGTTTACCTGAGAGTGGGATAAAGGTCTGGGGGATAGATGAGGGAGAAGGAAACTTTTCTGTAGGTGTGTGTTTATTTTAAATTTTGAGCCATATAAATGTATGACTTATTTAAAAATTTATATTTAAAAGGTTTTTTTGGTTTGTTATTTTTTTTTAAGTAAAGAAACTCTGTCTTGGCAATCTGAAGGCAAGTGAGGATGCCTTGAATAGTTGCTGTATTAGGACTAGCATGGAAATGGAAATCTTTTTAACTAATAGAACCATTTGTTTCTTTTAGGTTTATGGTCAAGGTTTAAAAAGAAGACTTTTAAGCTCATGAGGAAGGCTCCCATTTGGGGGGAGAAGGTAAGCAGTAGATAATCTCCTCTTGATAATCATACCTCTTTTTTCCTATTTACTAAGACTAATATTCTTAAGGGGGAAGGATGATTTTGTCCCTTGCCTCTAGGGGACATTTGGAGACATTTTAGGTTGTCACAACTCAGGTGGAGTGCCGTTGGCATCTGGTGGATCGTATCCAGGGGTGTTGCTAAACATCCTGCGGTGTACAGGACAGTACCACAACAGAATTATGTCTGGCTTAAAACGTCAAAAGGGCCGAGGTTGAGAAACACTGACTTAACCCTTTCTCTAATGTATTAGGGTAAAGGAGAGAGGAGAAGCCTATTAAGGAAGAAGAATTTGAAACTAGAAAACCTAGATGTAGTGTTATAGTGCTTTGGAACAATGTGTGGCTGGCTGAATTTAGATATTTATCTAAAGCAGTATTTTTCAATCTTTTTTATCTCATGGCACACTTGAACCTATAGTTAAACTTTTGGAGCACACTTAAATTATGTTGATCAAAAAAAAAAAAGTAAAAAGAAGAGTATAGTTACTGTCCTTTGAACTTCTTTTGAAAATAATTTAATTAATGATCTTTAAAATTTTTTATAGCACACCTAAGATCCTCTCAGAGCACACCAGTGTGTTGTGGCACACTGGTTAAAATCACTGATCTGGAGGTTGCTTTAGGTTAGAGGTTGGCATACTTTTTCTATAAAGGGCTAGATAGGAAACATCAGGGACTCTTTAGGTTCTACTGTGTCTGTTGCAACTCCTCACCTCTGCCCTTGTGGAGGGAAAGCAGCAAGAGGAGGACAAGTTATGGAATAGCCTGGCTGGGTGCTAGTGCAACTGTCTGTATGAACATGGGTAGGCCAGAGCATAGGTGGGCCCTGGCTATAGTTTGCTCAACCCAGATTTAGAAACTTAACGACTAACCAAACTATTCTGTTGCCCTTTTCACCTCTCTGTAGGATAGTCTGTCCCCTTCATTGTATCTTCTTTATTCTCACCCACACTGAGGATAAGGTAGTCACCTCTGTACCCTTCCTACAGGTTCTTTGTCATAGATGAGGATACACCCCTTTGCAAACTGTAAGCAAGGCACATGAATCCTTGATGTCTTCATCTCCTTAATTACCCTGCCTTGACCCTCAACTTTACTTTGGTCTTCCCCAGTTTTACCTGCCTTCAGATTTTCTTTCAATTCCCTTTCCCCTTTCCTGGCCAAACCAGAAGAGATGATAGTTCTCTTTAGCCTTTGGCTAAAATTCATTCAGGCTACTGTGCTAGTGGTGCCAGAAATATGTATTTTCAGATTTATTTCCTGTAGGGAAGCAGAATAACTGGGGTGGTGAAGAGGAATGAACAGATACCATTCTGTTTGTCCCCAGATTATATTAAGCCCTCCAGGTAAATCTCTTTTAGTCCTTAACAGAGTAAGGGGAGGGGGCAGGGGACTTTAGAAGCTGGACAATAGCACAGAGGACAGAGAGCTTCCTTTAATATTTCTTACATTGTGTTTCTGTCCTCATTCTCCTTACTCTTCTCCTTTAATTTCCAGATTTTGAGACAAGTGTTAGAATTTCAGAACCCATTCTTAAGTTTATGAAATAACAGAAACTCTAGAGAATAATCATATTCTATTTTTCAGGATCAGATCCTGAGGCTTAGAGTTAAAAAGCTGTTTGGTGTGTGTGTGTGTGTGTGTGTGTGTGTGTGTGTGTGCATGCGCGCACGTGTGCCCCACTCTCATTTATCCACTTTCATCCACTTAGTCAATACATGTTTACTGAGCACCTGCTCAGCATCAAATGATTTTCTGGGTGCTGAGGATATAGTGGTGAATGAGACCAATTCCTTCCTTTCATAGAAAATAAACAAGTAAACAAACACATGAGAATTTCAT